ATAAATGGTAATGATGTGACATGATAGAGGTATTAGCTAAAGTTGTGGTGGTAATCATTTTGCAATATGTAAGTGTATCAAGTCAACATGTACACCTTAAATTATACAATGTTATATTTCAGTTATATCTTAATAAATCTGGAAAAAAATTAAAGGAGGGTCCTTCTCTGCCACCCCTTGCTTGTACATTAATTACATTCACAGTTGAACCTCAACAGTTTCATTCTGTCTCTAATACTGTCAGAAACACAAATTTTTGTGTTTCCAGATTTCAGCCTTCATTACCGGGACCAAATCTGATACTCATTTTCCAGTTGTTACCTTTCCACTGCACCCAGCACATATTTAGTACTTACTGCATACTATATAATGACTTTAGGAATCTCCAAAGAAGGAAATAACAATTTCTCCTGACAACTCAGTAACAGACCTAGCAATTCTTGAGCCCATTATAGATAATACAGGATGTCCAACTACTCTCTCCTTTTCCTCAACCCAGAAATAAAAACACTGTTTTCTTCCTCCTAACCACTGGACTTACTTAGCTTTTATTATTCACTGGTGGAGGCAGTAAGACTGAGGAACAGAGCTAGTGCAAAGAGCAGAACTAGGCAAGACTGAATGACATGTTTTAGCTTTATCCTTTAAGTTTTATCCAGCCCCACTTGCAACCCTACTGTATCTATTACTATGGTTATTAGTCACTGTGTATACTCCAACTGTCAGGGATACTTACAGACATCAACTGAATGTGCTAATGATTTCGCCATTTAGAAAAGGTCATGGGAGATGTATGCAGTGACTAGGTCTCAGATTCTATTATTGTCACTTACTTGCTGAGTGACTGTATATTAGTATCCTAGGGCTGCCGAAATGAAGTATCACAAATGGGGTGGTTTAAAACAATAGAAATTTAGCTCACAGTTCTTCAGGCTAGAAGTCCAAAAGAAAGGTATTGGCAGGGTTATCCCAAGTTTGAAACCTAGAGGGAAATCCTGCTTTGCCTCTTCCTAGGGTTTTAGCAGTTTTCTGGTACTCTTTGGTGCTTCCTGGTTCATAGCTGCATAACTCCAATCTGTACCTTTGTCATAACAAGGCATTCTCCGTGTATGTGTCTGTTTTTACATGGCCATCTTCTATAAGGACACCAGATTAGGAGCTCATCTACTGCAGGGTGACCTTATCTAACTTTATAAATTATATCTGCAATGGTCCTATTTCTAATTTAAATTATATTCTGAGGTACTGGGGATTAGAATTTCAATGAATCTTTTCTGGGGGCATAACTCAACTCACAGGAGTGACCTTAGGTGAGTTCCTAACCCTGAGATTTGTTTTCCTCATTATAAAGTGAAGATAAGAATACTCTAGGTCTAGATAAGAAAACCTTAATATGATACATAAAAAATCTTTCTCTACACAAAGTGCAATATTTGATAAAATACTTGTGTCCAAAATTTACAAAGAACTCTTACAACTCAATAACACAAAAATAACCCAATATTTAAAATTGCAAAGTATCTGAACATACATCACATCAAAGAAGATATACAGATGGTAAATAAGCAAGTATAAAATAAGCAATGAAATGATCCATTAATAATGGATAAGAATTGAAGACACCAGTATGAACTCATGTTAATATATAGATGGATACATATATAGAGAAAAATGTATGGATATGTATATATACAAAGATTAGTATATACACACATGTGTATTTCCTTGCTCTGTTAGCTAAGAGGGCCTAGAAACATCAATACCCCAGTAGCAATGAGCATACATAATACTCAGATCTTGGCTTCCAATAGATTGGCTCCAATAAAAGGAATGAGGCTCCTTAGATAAATGGTTGACTTTAGGACAGGGGCAGGAAATATACAAGATAAGCTGGGAATATCCACCAATGCTAGAAAATAAATGAGTGCTAAAAAAAAAAGAAAAATACGGGGTGTGTCAAAGGGACATGAGCCAACTGAAAGAACTTATAATGACCAAAGCTCAAACAATTCGAGCAACAAAATACAGTAGTATTAGATGACAACCCAAAGCATAAACTAAGTATCCATGAGCCCATATTGATAAACAAACAACTGGAAACATAAGTAAATGGGGGAAAGACAGACAAATCTTCTTTGCAGAAGAATACCAAATAATTTATGTAGACAATCTGTCCTCAAGGAGGTGAAGTTTAATTTACCATTCCTTAAGTGTAGGGTGCACATAGTAACTTCCTTAAAAAGAGTACAAAATGGAATGGGGGGAGCAAAGATCAATAACTACAGTGGAGAAACCTGACAAACACTACTGCAGCCAGGAGATTAATGATAACATCAACAGTGGTAAATCAGGTTGATACTACATACTCTTGATAGATGATGAGAATGACACTTTACTTCTGGTCATCCTCCCCAAAACTCATAAATCCAATATAATCATGAGAAATCATCAAGCAAACATAAATTGAGGAATACTGTAGAAAATACCTGATCAGTACTCCTCAAAACTGTCAAGGTCATCAAAAACAGGGAATCTGAGATGCTGTCACAGCCAAGAAGCAGTGTAAGAGGACATGATGATGAAATGTAAAGTAGTATCCTGGAACAGAAAAAAAAGACATAAAGTAAAAATTAAAAACCTCAGTAAAATATGGACTTTTGTTAATAATGATGTGTCAATATTGGTTCATTAATTGTGACAAATTCAGCATACTAATGAAATATTAATAGAGGAAAATGAGTGGTGGTGGCAGGGAAGTATATGGAAACTATGTGCCTTCTCTGCAACTTTTCTGTAAATCTAAAACCATCCTAAAATAAACCTTTGATAAAAAATTCTATAATTCTCTCTGACATTTAATAGTTTCAAAATTATTGGAAACTATATTATCATTAATGGTGGTATCAGTTACTGGAAAGGAAATAAAGGAAAATAAGTATATCCACTGCTCTGCTCACCAATACATTGGTCACATTGACACCCTTACTTCCATCTATTAGCAGTGTCAGCTGCAATAGATATATTTACTCATCATAGTGATTCCCACTTATTAAGGCCTTATTATAAGCTGAGTACTTTACATGAATTATGTCATTTAATACTAAAAAACCCTATGTGATTTGTATTATTATTACCCCAACTTTACAGATAAGGAATAGTAAACTTAGAAGGGCTATCAGAAATTTAAAGAGGCTGAGGACTTTGTGTAAGGCCTAGTGCTAATAAGTGAAAATATTTGAGTGCAAGCAGTTTGTTGTTAGTACCTATATTCTTAAATAGTCTGCTAAACTTCTACACATGTAGATATGCTTGCCTCCACCATACACAGGTGTATTGCATTACTCATGCTCTTCCTTCTTCTTACTATTGTCAGGACCAACATGAGCTTCCAACCACTTTTCTATTTGAAAGTATTTAGATAAACTCAGGACAGAATGCATCAGATCATCCCAGTATACTGGGCCTTGCCCAAGCCCTCAGTGCTGTGACTCAAATCTATTTCCTTATCATTAAATCTACTACAAGGTAATGTTAAAACTTGACTGAGTTCACTACCATTTTTTTTTCCTTTGTTATATACTGAAGGCAACAGCCTTCCCTCTAGATGGAAATAATTCAGCGGGCAGCACCACTGTGCCCAGCTCCTTTTCCACACCCTAATCGCTCCCTCATTCCTCTAACTCAATGAAGCAAAAGCTTAAAGACAGAATGCATTCTTCCCTTTACAAAGGCAAGTTTATAGTCCAGCTCACTTTCTGTCTTCATGTTAAAATGAGAGCACAGGTTACCAGAGGTGAGGGTTTCTGTCCATGGGCAGCATTAACACTTCCCAGTTTCTATAAATCTGAAGCTATCTTGTTTTCTTTTCTTCCTATAATTAGTCCATAAGCCAGTCCATGCCAGGCTGACTCACTCACTTGCCTATGTACTATGGCCGGAGTGTCACTGTTCCAGAAATTGGGTACTGAGGGCCTTTGTCTGGGCCTGTGGCATAAATAGAACAAAGGAAAAGATTTTCCTGAGAGAAAACCTTGAAAGCCAAGGAGCGATAACCTTTTCTCACACTGAAGGGTGGGGGTGGGGGTGGGGAGTGGTAATAATGGCAAACAAACCCATGTCCTTCCTCGGGCTTTCCTGCCTTCAAAGGGATTCAGGGCCCACATGAATTCCTTCCCAGGAACTGCCCGACAACGTTAAAATTACCCAGCAAGCTCCTCATATCAAGAAGCAGTTAGCCAGGTTTTTAGTTTTCTTTCCTAGTCAACAGCAATATCCTAATCTAGGACCTCTTTCCTCCAATATTCAACTACAAGAAACCTTTAAAGAGTTCAGAGAACTTAAAGACCAATTTGCACAACTTCTAAAGTTATTCTTCACTTGACAAGGGGCAACCTGAAGAGAGAGCATCTGTGTGACTGCTAGGAAGTAGGGCACACAGGAAAAGAGGTACATAAGCATTCTTTAAAAAGTACTGAATGCCTTCTCGGAACCACACAGTATTCTAGGAGCTGGGGATAAGGACCTTGTATCTTCAGAGCTCATGTTCTATAATAGTTGGAAAGAGACAATAATAAAGAATATATATATATAAGAGATCAGGTAAAGGAACATATCAGGTCAGGGGATAGAAGAAAGAGCTTATTCTATCTACTGAATGGCTAGAAAAAGGCATATATATATTACCATTCCTTAAGTGTAGGGTGCACATAGTAACTTCCTTAAAAAGAGTACAAAATGGAATGGGGGGAGCAAAGATCAATAACTACAGTGGAGAAACCTGACAAACACTACTGCAGCCAGGAGATTAATGATAACATCAACAGTGGTAAATCAGGTTGATACTACATACTCTTGATAGATGATGAGAATGACACTTTACTTCTGGTCATCCTCCCCAAAACTCATAAATCCAATATAATCATGAGAAATCATCAAGCAAACATAAATTGAGGAATACTGTAGAAAATACCTGATCAGTACTCCTCAAAACTGTCAAGGTCATCAAAAACAGGGAATCTGAGATGCTGTCACAGCCAAGAAGCAGTGTAAGAGGACATGATGATGAAATGTAAAGTAGTATCCTGGAACAGAAAAAAAAGACATAAAGTAAAAATTAAAAACCTCAGTAAAATATGGACTTTTGTTAATAATGATGTGTCAATATTGGTTCATTAATTGTGACAAATTCAGCATACTAATGAAATATTAATAGAGGAAAATGAGTGGTGGTGGCAGGGAAGTATATGGAAACTATGTGCCTTCTCTGCAACTTTTCTGTAAATCTAAAACCATCCTAAAATAAACCTTTGATAAAAAATTCTATAATTCTCTCTGACATTTAATAGTTTCAAAATTATTGGAAACTATATTATCATTAATGGTGGTATCAGTTACTGGAAAGGAAATAAAGGAAAATAAGTATATCCACAGCTCTGCTCACCAATACATTGGTCACATTGACACCCTTACTTCCATCTATTAGCAGTGTCAGCTGCAATAGATATATTTACTCATCATAGTGATTCCCACTTATTAAGGCCTTATTATAAGCTGAGTACTTTACATGAATTATGTCATTTAATACTAAAAAACCCTATGTGATTTGTATTATTATTACCCCAACTTAACAGATAAGGAATAGTAAACTTAGAAGGGCTATCAGAAATTTAAAGAGGCTGAGGACTTTGTGTAAGGCCTAGTGCTAATAAGTGAAAATATTTGAGTGCAAGCAGTTTGTTGTTAGTACCTATATTCTTAAATAGTCTGCTAAACTTCTACACATGTAGATATGCTTGCCTCCACCACACACAGGCGTATTGCATTACTCATGCTCTTCCTTCTTCTTACTATTGTCAGGACCAACATGAGCTTCCAACCACTTTTCTATTTGAAAGTATTTAGATAAACTCAGGACAGAATGCATCAGATCATCCCAGTATACTGGGCCTTGCCCAAGCCCTCAGTGCTGTGACTCAAATCTATTTCCTTATCATTAAGTCTACTACAAGGTAATGTTAAAACTTGACTGAGTTCACTACCATTTTTTTTTCCTTTGTTATATACTGAAGGCAACAGCCTTCCCTCTAGATGGAAATAATTCAGCGGGCAGCACCACTGTGCCCAGCTCCTTTTCCACACCCTAATCGCTCCCTCATTCCTCTAACTCAATGAAGCAAAAGCTTAAAGACAGAATGCATTCTTCCCTTTACAAAGGCAAGTTTATAGTCCAGCTCACTTTCTGTCTTCATGTTAAAATGAGAGCACAGGTTACCAGAGGTGAGGGTTTCTGTCCATGGGCAGCATTAACACTTCCCAGTTTCTATAAATCTGAAGCTATCTTGTTTTCTTTTCTTCCTATAATTAGTCCATAAGCCAGTCCATGCCAGGCTGACTCACTCACTTGCCTATGTACTATGGCCGGAGTGTCACTGTTCCAGAAATTGGGTACTGAGGGCCTTTGTCTGGGCCTGTGGCATAAATAGAACAAAGGAAAAGATTTTCCTGAGAGAAAACCTTGAAAGCCAAGGAGCGATAACCTTTTCTCACACTGAAGGGTGGGGGTGGGGGTGGGGAGTGGTAATAATGGCAAACAAACCCATGTCCTTCCTCGGGCTTTCCTGCCTTCAAAGGGATTCAGGGCCCACATGAATTCCTTCCCAGGAACTGCCCGACAACGTTAAAATTACCCAGCAAGCTCCTCATATCAAGAAGCAGTTAGCCAGGTTTTTAGTTTTCTTTCCTAGTCAACAGCAATATCCTAATCTAGGACCTCTTTCCTCCAATATTCAACTACAAGAAACCTTTAAAGAGTTCAGAGAACTTAAAGACCAATTTGCACAACTTCTAAAGTTATTCTTCACTTGACAAGGGGCAACCTGAAGAGAGAGCATCTGTGTGACTGCTAGGAAGTAGGGCACACAGGAAAAGAGGTACATAAGCATTCTTTAAAAAGTACTGAATGCCTTCTCGGAACCACACAGTATTCTAGGAGCTGGGGATAAGGACCTTGTATCTTCAGAGCTCATGTTCTATAATAGTTGGAAAGAGACAATAATAAAAAATATATATATAAAAGAGATGAAATAAAAGAGCAGATCAGGTAAGAGGATAGAAAAAAAAGCTTATTCTATCTACTGAATGGCTAGAAAAAGGCATATATATATATATAATATATATATATATTTTTCAAAGAAACTTGTTAAATTTCATTTTCTTTAAATTCATACTTGTCTCCTATCCTCAACCACTCTAGGGAGGAACAGGACCCCTCCCCTCCATTTAGGGGATTCAATGTATAAAGCCTGAGATGTTGAGGATGAAGTATAAAAATATTATTTATAAAGGGGAAGAAAGTACCTGTTGTTACCTTCACCTTCAGGCACCCTATCCCCAGGCCCCTTTAGCTCCTTTTGAAAAATCCCCTGGGAATCCACTGAGTGTAGAACCAGCCCTTCCTCTACAGGGACACTCAAACCCCAACATGGAATAGGAAGCTCTGAGACTAGCTGAGGAAGAAAGGGAATGGATAGCACCTCAGACCCTAGCCAGGGAGGGGATCTGCACCTCTCTTACCTGCAGTCAGCAGGCAGGCCTGAATGAAGTAGAAGCTGAGCTGCATGGATATATGGTGGAAGGGCATTTTAGGAAGAAGAAAGAGCAAATGCAGAGTCCATTAGATGGGAACATGATTAGTGCATCTGAACAAGAGAAATGGAGCCAGCCTGGCTGAAGAGGAGTGAAAAAGGGAAATAGATAAAGGGGAACCAGAGCCATAAGGCCTGTGCAATGAGTGATCCTTAAGAAACTGGCATTAATACTACCCATTTGCAAAAGGGAAAATCTTGAAATCAAATAAAACCGAAGGAGGAAAGGAGGTGAAAAGAAAGAGAAAGGAAAAAATTGTAAAAGTAATTTTGCTGCTTTGTTGTTAATGGATATGCTAATTTAATTTCAGGAAGGAACTTCCTAAGTCTCTCTGATCATCTCTCTTAGATACACCTATCGGTCTAACCCTAAGGTCACCTGCTTACCCCTGATTCTTTTCCTCTATGACCATAATTATTTATAAAGCCCTCCTGACTAGTTTCCCTGTCCATTCTCTCTCTCTTCAACACAGCTACACTGCTGTCATAGCAATCTTTCTAAAATCCAAATAGTATATGTTTCTCTCATCTTACCTGTTCTCCTTTTAATGTTCCTTCCTTAACCCAAGTACCCCATACTATATACCAAACTGTAGTCCCCACACTAGATTTAGTGGTTATTCCCTGAACACACTCGGTGATTTCACACTTTTATCCATACTTCACCTGGAACGCTCCTCCCAATATTGCTTACTCATTCTATACATCCAACTCAAATCCCCCTACCTCTATAAATCAAAAACATCTCCCTGTGTGTTCCACCCCTATGGATGAATTAATCCTTACCTCTTATATGCTTGCACGACACTTTGCTTATGTCACCATTGTAGTCCTTATCATGATTTATCATAATGGACTTATTACATGGCTCTCTTCCCAGCTAGAATGTGAGTTCCTTAAAGTCAATAACACCATACTGTTCATTTTTATATCCCAGGTACATAGCAAAATAACATATATAAAAATATGCTTAGTATATATTCTTGAATTAAAAAATAAAAATGAACAGGAAATGTGATGAAAATGGGGAAACTCTCAAAGCAGAATAAAAAAACAGGAGAAATCAAGATGGTAAAAATTCACACAGCACACAAAGAAACATCACAAAATATTAAAGCCAGAACAAAATTTTGTATTACTGCTTAATCAACTAATTTAACAAATGATTGGGATTCAGAATAATTTGAAGAGTTTGAACTAAAGTTTCAATGTTCGCTTCACTGTTGTAAAAGAAAAACACAAACCACAGATAAAAGGAACCTAGAGATCATCTTGCTCACCTGTACACTATTCCTCTCTAACTGAGATGGAAAAAGGTTGGAATATTAATGCACCATCAAGTGCATTTAAAGTGTTTCTATTCTCCCTTTAAAATTTCTTTCATTTGACAATTCTACCTCTCTGCACCTTATTATATGTATATTAATATACCAATTCACAGTTTATGAAACATTAACTTATCATTTCACCAGATTCTTATAGACTTCTTTTTGAGTCTTAGGTTTCATTTATATATTTTTCCCTTTACTATTCCACTGCTTCCTATGAGAATGAAAGGTCACTTAAAATATCAAATATGCAGCTGAAAATAGGTGCTTCTGTGGTTTAATACAAGACCGCACATTGGAAGCACTGGGTTCTGAGGCTACTTTTCCAACCTTGAGCTGAGCATCACTTCACCTCCTGTGTCTCAGTTTATGCATCTGGAAATCATGGAGGCTTGACCAGATCAGTGGTTTCCAAATCTGGCTAGGCATCAAAACTATCTGGAGGCTTTCATAAATCTAATTGTTTTAGTCCTTCTCCCAGAACATCAGGGGATGAGGACCAGAAATCTGTGATTGTCAAAGCCCTCTAGGTGATTCTGATGAGCAGTCAGTCTGGAAATCTCTAAGCTAGATGATGTCTCAAATCCCTGTTGGCTCTAAAACTATAAATAAACCATGTTTCTCTTTTGCATCAATTGCTATTTGTGCGAAACAGTCTTTAGACCTAGACATTGGGTTCCTCTCTGGGGCCTGAAGAAAACAGATTTGCAATAGTAAGACTAGTTAGACCTCAGAATTAATGGCTCTGTCCATGTTCTAGGCAAACAGGACCACATGATAAAGTGGTTTTGTTTTCTTTATTTTCAAAAGTAGACTTCTTAAGTGAAAGAACTGACATATTTTCTAGAAGAGTTTTGCTGTTCTCAACAAGGTAAGGTTTTATTATTGCTATTTTCTTCTGCTAACATTTTCCACTGGACTCCAAAAGCCATCTAAAATGTTGAAGAAACTCAGTATCTTGTGTCTTATTTAACAAAATACACTAGACAAAAATTAGAATCATGTCATGTAGTTTTCACCACATTACTGATACTCAGAATGTGTTGAGAAAACAACAAAGATAAGGAGAGAGACACTTCGCTGATACAAATTAAGAAATTTCATTTTTAG